TTTTATCAACTCATAATTATAATTATTAATTTATTTTAATAATCAAATAAATATCTTATGTGTAACCTTAACAAGAAAATTGTATAGCAATAACCATTTGCATAATTAATTGTCAGTCATAAAAATATCAAATCTACTCTAGTCTAGTTAGGGATGGCAAAATCTTCTTTCCCAGTGATTACCGGAGGGCGGGGACAGGGGAGAGAATTTTTCAGTGAGCTTTTCTAAATATGTTTTTAGAGCATAAATTAAAAATATAATAAATATATAAATTTTTATTAAAAATAAAAATTACTTATTAATTATTCAATTAATACTAAAATTAAAATTAAAATTATATTTTTTATACATTTATTATAAAAAATTACCTTTAACCTATTCCTTAAAATTGCAAACTATAAAATTCTTTTTCTCTATTTGCAGAATTTCCTGGAAAGTGGTCCCAAATAAGAAAAAAAAATTTAAAACATGTAATCTTTCCCAATATTCTTCTTTTCCATTGCTTTTATGACTTTTTGTTTTTTGGGCAAAACGTTATTCACAAAAAGTTACTGAAACAAATTATACAAACAAAAAAAATTAAAACTATTATACATATATATGTAGCATTTTCAATTCACGAGACAAGAAAAAAAAAAAAATCGTCGTAACTCATAACGACCTTGCTTAGTGTAGTGTGAAAGAAGCAAAGGATATTCCAAGTCCAAGTGAGGAAACTGAGATAAGGTATATTTTGTCTTCGGTTCAGGGCCACTCACCGAAAGTTTTCAGCGCAATTGAAGAAAAAAAATAATAATAATGACACAAAACGTGCATGGTCAAGGGTGAAAAGATGATTTAACTCATGGTAATATGAGTAGAAAAAATTAATAAGGGCTTAATTGAGTTAATGTTTATTAATTTAAAATTTTAAGTTTAACATCAAAATTAAAATTTTAAAGCTTTATAATATCATATCATTAATTTTTTAATATATATAAAAAAATAAGAGTTGAAAGAAAGTGGAAGGATAACCGAAAAAGCAGAAAAGTCACTCACCGAAAGTGTTAGTTTAGGAAAATTGAGGGAAAAAAAAAATTAATAATGACACAAAAATGTGGTCAAGGGCGAATAGATGCTGGAAAACATGGTAACAGGAGAAGAAAGAAAGTGGAACGATAACCAAGAAAGGT